CCCTCTCCTGTTGTCCTCTGGGGCTATTTTCTGTTTTAGACTCCTGGCCCAGAACAGTGGCAGCCAGGCCAAGAGGAACTTCCAACCTTCCTCTTCTCATCTTGTGGGGCTGCTGATCTACAAGGAGCCTTCCACATCCCAGCCTCCTCAATTGAGGTCAGTGTGACCATTCGCCTCCTTCACAGGACGCGCACGGAGGTCAAGATATCATGTGTGAGCAGAGGCACAACAAAGCTGGGACTGATGGTCAGGGGCTCTGGAAGAGTCACAGAGGCCTTCTACACATGCAAGTGTCAGTGCCCAATGGGAGCAAAAGCTGAACTGCGTCTAACTCTACCCTCCTTTTGGGAATGGCAAACAGTCACCATGTCTTCCATGCAGCTCCTAACTTCCTCACAGCAACATCTTTCCTCCAGACTGTATGTGGCAGGAATATGTCAGTGTGTACAGCTTGTGTACAGAGAAGGGCTACGAAGACGCAACAAACATCATGTTAACAATGACATCATAAACATCCTTAACAAGCTCCTCACAGAACTTGAGTAACATCTCTGAGTAGCCTGAGTAACATCTCTCTCCCTGGGCATCTTGGGAGAGTGTCTGCAGGGGAAAGGACAACGCAAAGGCACAGGCAGGATGCAGTAGATTTTTAATGCATCAAAAGAGGGAAATGAGGTCATTCTGAGTGCTGGTCCTGATGCAGGGATCACCAGGGAGAGATAAGAGTTTATGCCACATGGCTCTTCCAGTGATCCCAAAAGCTGTCCGTCTACCTCTTCCATAGATGGAGCAGGGCCAAGCAGGTCCTCCCCAGGCTGGCTTTGTAATGCTGACAGCCCAGGAGAGCACAAGAGAAAAAGAACTCAGGAGAGAATGGAAGAAGGGAAAGGCAGGCATGGGCTGTGCTCTCTGGGAGCCCAGGTTGGCCCCGTCCTTTTGCAAGGGGTGCTGGGGCTGCTCAGTCCCTCTGGAAGCAACAGCCCAATGCTGAGTCCCCAGCCCAGTACCATATTGTGGGTTCCTGGGGAGGTTCCCAGCAGCTTTAGCAGGGGAAGCACCTCCTGCCACAGATGCCACTGCCGAAGCCGGAGAGGCCAAAGCCCCCAGAGTTGATGGGCACTCCCTCAGAGCTGAGGATGCTGCCAACAGCAGCAGAGGTGGAGGATCCCACGGCGGTGTTCTGCGGGAAGGAGCTGAGGATGGGTCCGGGCAGGGTCACCACCACAGGGGAGGGCTGGATGAAGACAGTGGCGTCCTGGCACTGC